TGAAGTTGAATAAATGAAGTAAACTTAACAAAACATAATGTTATTTGCAACGAACATGTTTATGAAATTAAAATTTCCCCAGTTCTTATTAACAAATCGGTACATAAAAACTTTAGATGGCATTGTCTCTTAAACTTCCACCTTCATTTACTGTGCTGAAACTTGTTCAGTCTATGCCAATAGGACTTGACTGCATATTCGCTAATGTCTGGAAAACTTTTAATTCCTAAATTATTGTTGATACTTCATGTTGGAATAAATGTTTTATTACAGACCTTAATTGTTAAGATAACTTCATTTATCCATCAACAAAATTATTACCAGAAGATCTGCTACAGTTAGCATCACGACAAAAAAATATTTTCCCCGTAATATGGAATTTCTGGAATTCGCGACAATGCCTTGTGACACTACAAGCTGTACATTATATTTATTTCATAATGTCTGATTTGTGAGCGATGTATAAAGCGTTTTGATTTTGGGCGATTCTAACAACTGCCTCTATGAAGCCGAATAAGGAAAGACCGCTGCCCCTGAAATGCAACCCGCTCTACGCTCATGCTTCACACAACCTCGACGTTCCCCTGCGGACGCATCCCGGCACAAAAGCGAATGCTGAATGTCGCACGTGCTTTTACTAACAAGCTGCAAAATGTTCACGATGATACATCGTACCTTTATATAAATTGTGAGTATTTGTTTATTTGAAAATGCATTTGTGAGTCAAAAAGTAGTACGTGTAAGATTAATACCGAAATCCAGAAATTCCTGTAGTAGCGATCAAGAGCCCTAAATTATTACAAATTGATTTGTAGAGACTTCTATGAATCAACAGTCAATTTTAATGGCCATGAGCTGAATAGAAATGGGTCAACGCTACGGATAAACGGACCATACTTTGTTTTCATAAACGGTGACGTCATAAGGCACGTCGCCAATGTAAGTAAATAAATGCAGGAACTGCACGAAGTAGATCAGTCTTGTATCTCATTTTTTGAAACTTCATAAGTGGTGGAATAAGATACAATGACTGCATGCGAATGCAAGCCTATGCGTGTTTCATGAAACACGACACTACTTAAGTCACTGATTTCCTATTGATGGTATTTGTTGTCTGGGGATATGTGAAATTATTCACTATGGAAAAAAACGAAATACAGACATAAAGCACGCAAAAATGAGAAAATTGCAAATTTAAACATTTGGACGAAGTTTTAGCTAAAACGTGTGAAGGTAATTTATGTGTTAAATATTGTTTAGGCACCTCACTGTCTGTCGGGCAGCGAACTGTAAAAGTTAGAAGCCACTACTTCAAAACAGTTCTTGTGAATGTTAATGCCAAAAGTATTCTCAACTGACCAAACATTGAGAAACTAAAAGATTATTATACTGTTAGGTAAGTTCCCTATCACAAGTCATTGTCTTTTTTATGACATTATAGTATGATAAAATAGACTCTGAAGAATGCATCATGTGAAACACATTTATTAGAAAAGGGGTACAATTTATTAAAATTATTTAATTAAAAACCAATATCATAATGAATGTTGAAGTAATATGATACAAAAATTGGAGTTACTATAAACCAGATTATGGAGTCATTTACTAAAATTGAGACTAAAACACTGTTTAAATTATTGTTGTGAAATATCTAAGAAATATGCAAGCCATTTTGATAAGGATTGATTGAGACGTGAATCCTCAAATTAACGACATATTGAATTCAGAACTGTCATTCTAGGAAAGTTATTGGAATTCTAAATCAATACATAATTTACTTCGTCTGGTTAAATCTCAACTATAAAGCCACCTGGATGCCCACCCCACGCACGCGACACCACTATAGAGTGGGAAAATATCCAAGATGCAAAATGTGTGTGTGTGTGTGTGTACACAAGGGCGTTTCGACACATGATTGATGGTCAAAGGATAAGGCAAAAGCACTGGAGTGCATTTTAAGCCATAGGTGTCTACAGATGGGACAATACTCCCCTCTTGAAATCCATATATAAAATAACGCACTTCCAAAAGAAACGTTTGGAACTTTATTAAATAATAAAAACAAATTCTTCCGTATATCAAAAAGTATAATTCCTAGTTTGTACATACATGTCCCCTAGTTTAAATTAAATCATAACACTAGTAGAACTTCATTGAAAATTTTGAATTCATATTAAGCTTGAAATATTTTAAAATGAAAACAGGTGTCTGAAAAAAAAACACTTATCAAAAATGAGTTCAGATACAACACGCTTCCTTTTAAATTCGTGTCGTCCCAGTTCAAATATTTCTGAAGCCGGCCTTGCTTTGAGTCGTCTAGGGCAGAGGTTACTTTCTGGCGCAAAGCACGCGTGGTGTTGCGTCACATTTTCCCCCGAGAGCCGACGCGACGCGACGCGACGCGGTGTTGTGTGTCGAAGGATCGACGGCGCGCGCCACGTGCTGCCCTGATGGATGGCGCGAGCGCGCGCGCGCAAGCTCAGGTGGCGTGGGAGGAGCTCATCTGCGCAGCGGAGCCACCGGATCGCCAAGGCCGCGCGAAGGACCCTCCCCTCCGGCGAGGCCACTCGGCTTCCACGTGCTCGCGGCGCACACGCATTCATGAAAAGACTCGAGAGGGAAACGACACCTCCAATTTTGGCTAAAATGGAATATTTTAATATGCTTGGCCCGGTTTCATTGCTCTTCCTGAAGGTATTTAGATCGATGTCCAAAATACAGTAATGAGAACGTTGAAAGAAACGAAACAATACAATGACGATTGTAATTCAGAGGACTATAGTATCTTTAAACTCATTTCCTGTTAAATTATGTAAATGTGACTCAATGCTCTCTTTCTCCGATACACAAAGACACGAAAATTTACACATTGAATACGAACAAACGTTTAGACATTTTTGGAGTGTGCGTGGAAGAGAAAGAAAGAAAGAAAGAAAGAAGGAAGAAAGGAAGGGGAAGAAAGAAAAAAGGGAAATTTGTTTTCCACGGAACGATGTTTTCTGGATCTGCTTTGAGACCTTCCTGACTATGTGTGTTGCGCGGAGAATTCGAGAAGAGACATCACTTCATGTCTTTCTTTGCTTCAATGTCGTCTAGAATAAACACGCACCCATTGATACTGTCCAAAAAAACTCGATAAACAATATTTCGCGAAAATGCTTGAAGTACTACAAACATCTGAAACGACCATTTCATAAACATTGTTGGCTTTAAGCGTCTGCTCATTCCAGTGAGTTCAGAACTGTTGATAGACCGCTGGGAAATATGTGTCCGTGAGGGAACTATTCGTATATTCCACGTCAACGATGCTGAATTGTTTGTGGACCTGTCAAGAATCCTGTAGAGTCTGTTGCGATCCAATTATTAACGTATTGTATTCATTCTGCCAATCTTTCGTTTCGAAGAACGAAAATTTAGATCTCCATTGCCACGAACCTGCTTCGCCGCCTGAGGGCGACGAGAGGACACTGCGCGTTGGAAGGAAGAACGCATAGTTGCAGGGGTTGTGCGAAGGTACAGTCGGTGAAAGAAATCTGAGCAGGGAAGTAGTAGAGAAGGAATAGGCGATGATGAAAAGGAAGTATCACGAAATAATAATACTAATAAGTTTCGGGTGTTTCGGGTAGAGAACAGGTTCTTTTCAAAGGATTAAAAACCGTCCTAAACCTCCCGTTGAAGACCTTATAAAATTTGACTTAAGTGAATTTTTTTAGATTTATTTTTCCCGGAAGGAAGCCCCGCGGTGGCTAAGAAGTAGCGCGTGCCGCTCCCACGCCGGACCGCCCCGACGCCGCTCCCACGAGCCGCCGTCGGCCACCCCGCCCGCCGCCGTCGCCGCCGCTGCCGCCGCCACCGTCACCGCCACCCCCTCCTTCGACATGGCTCTCCCGCCCAACTACCACCTTGCCGGCCGTCATGCGCCGTGGACATCACCGCCGTCATGCCGACACCAAAGACCTAAGTGATCAAATCCGAGTGAATACCCCTCCTCCCCCGGTCGCTGCCATTCGACATTTAAATTGAGCAGCCATCAACTGTCACCACGAACACAGCCGCCGCCGATCGGTCAACTGCCACCTGCTCCAATGACGTAGTCGCCAAATTCTCCACCGCCGTTCGCACCAGCGACCACCCCAAAACAGGCCTCGCTTAGTACTGCAAGCTGCGCAGTACAAGTCAGGGTAGGATTGTTGTTGTTATTATTATTATTATTAGTCATTATTATTATGCCATTATGATTATCATTATTATTATGTATTATTATTTTATTTTTTATTATTTATTTTATTATTATATTATTATTTTATCATTATTAGGATTATTATATTAAAGAGGT